TAGTATTTGTAATGAAAAGTGATAATTAAATAGAATTCAGCTGTAGCTGCAATTTCAATGCACCTAACAATTGTGTCAATGCTTAGCAAGAGGTTACAGTTAAGTCAGGACAATTAAACATTTGAATAAGACAGATTTTACTCTTCGTTATACCATGCTGGGGTGAGGCTCCCAATGAAATGAATCAAAATGAATCGGACATACATATCACAGGGAAAAATATGTCCCATTATGTTGAAACATGGTATCAAACACTGTAGTATGCTTATGACATATACTTGGGAAGGGAAAACATCATTCAGAATATATTGCAATATTTCCTACTTTTCTAATATGAAAAATAGACATTCACTATAATACATAAAAATAGATGAATATTTCTTTTCATTGCTTATATTTAAATAACATAGGGAATTACAATACCACACTCTGGTTATGAGATTTCACAGTCTAAAGTGCACAAAAACCATGAAGCATGCTGTATCCAACCTCCCACTATATCTTATTATTTAAATAACCATATCTCTGTTACTTTATTTCCAATTGCACAGCTCCCAACGTATGTTCTTCAAGCAATAACCTCACACTTTCCTTCAATTCCTTTCCTTTATTAACAGTGTATAATCAGTATTAAAGACTAATTTTGCAAAGCATGTATAGACCAGACATTGACCAGATACATACATATATATATACACACACACAATTTTGTAAATATTTGGAAATCAGATGAAATGTTACAGTGAATTCTTTAGGTTTTCTTGCAGTAAACTGTGAGATACATATCTTCATTTTGCCCCTCAATCCAAAACTAAGGTTGTTTTCCAAGATTTAATCCATGCTTGCAAGAAAATCAGCTATTTTAAAAATCAGAACACGTTCGCCATAGCCTTCTTTCACAGATCAGATTTCAAGTTTCTCTGCAACAAATCTGAAGTACAAGCTTCTAGTGTTCCTATTTTTGCCAAGTTTATCATACTGACATGAAATATGTTTTTTACAGTTTTAGAAATTAAAGTCCCAATATTTGTATTAGCATAAATGTTTAGGGTAAACTTAGTTTAAAAACACTAAACAGTGAATCCATTACATTTTAGCTCTATATATACCAGGAAATAAAAGGGACAGCCAACAAACTTGCAACATACCACTTCTATATCAAAGAGAATAATTGTGTTTTTACAAATACTGGGGAGCAAGCTATTTATGACAATTTTTCCTTATTAACAAAAAGTGTAACAAAAGGAAGACATTATAGATGTTCAGCACAGTGCATGTTTTTATCAAAATAAGCCCTGAGTCATACAAATCCTCATGCACATGCTTAACTTGAAGCATGTCAATAGCATGCTTAAAGTAAAACGTGCAAATGGGTTTGCAGGATCCCTCTTCAGAATGCAAAAAATTAGAGTTATCATTTCAGATTTCCCATTCCAGGCAAAGTTTCCTGCAAACCTAAATCACATCTTAAATCCCCTTTGGTACAAACTTTCATTTCATCTTTTGTATTATAAAGAAAATTCAAACACTGGGCCAAATTCTTGCTTGCTTCACAGATATGCATAAATATGCCAGCAACACACACACACACACATTTTGTTAACTGCAGTGTAATGTGGAGAATGGTTGCCCCAAGCCTGGTACCTATAAAAACCAGTGGATAGACCATCCTCAACTGGACCCACATGGGGAAGCTACAAGGCATAGGGAAAGAATCAAACAGTAGACCATATGTTTTTGTTTTTCAGTTTGCTTTTCTTTTGCACAGGTACACTCCCTTTCTGCTGGCTCTTCCAGCGGCTACCAGCTTCTCCCCTTCCTTATCTGTTGCCCCTCTGGCCCCATCTCTTATCTTTTCCTCTTATGAAGCAGAAAGAGTGACAAGTGAATATCTTTAACTCTAAAAGGAATCTGCCAAATGCAACCACGTAATCTTTAAAGAGAAAAACAGACACTATCCATTTATCGTTTATAGGGTAGCACAGCTGGGCTAGGGATCTTTCTTCACCAAAGTAAGAGCTTTGCCAGAAAAGAAGCAGAATTACTTTAAGCCAGGTGAAAATTCCAATACCTTCACACTAATTGCTACTTCCTTAGGGCCATATACTGCCCACAGTCTCCCCTCCAACCTTTTAATTGATCTAAATCCCTGTCACTGGGGATTGCATAGTGTAATCCGGGGCAGAATTTGGTCCTTATACTCCAAAGACAACTCAGTTTCTATTAAGTTGGGGCCTACCATAGACAACTCTTATTTTTAAAATAGCCAGACACAGAACAGAAGAAGGCTACAGCAGATTTGCCAAAAAAAAGTGATGATTACATAGAGTATCTATTGCTGATATCAACTAATATTTGGACATTGCAAGGACATGCTACTGAAAAACAGCAAATATCAGCTTTGTTAAAAATATGGCCCAGGCTTCAGTATCACAACACTGTGGGGAGCAAAACACATCAGATCTCTCAAACACGTACTAGACTAGGCATTTTTAAAGCCTGTGTATTAAAGTTTAATTGGTAACTTTGACCTTGACTATCACTTTCAACAGAAATATCACAGTAGTGCTAGGATTTTCAGAGATTTATGATCCTGTGTTCCTGAAAAGATACTAGCACCACTGTAGTAATGCATGTCTGAAATAATTGATCTGTCTCTTACAAGTGTTGTTCTCTTGATTGCACATTGCTTTGAGAGATAGAAGCTGCTATCTGATGGAAACACTACCAATCAACAGTACATTTAGAAAATGCAAAAAAGATGCCAGGATTCAACCCACAGACGTTCTTGTTTTAAAACAGGGGTAGGCAACCTATGGCACGTGTGCCGAAGGCGGCACGCGAGCTGACTTTCAGTGGCACTCATGCTGTCCGGGTCCTGGCCACCGGTCCAGGGGGCTCTGCATTTTAATTTAATTTTAAATGAAGCTTCTTAAACGTTTTAAAAACCTTATTTACTTTACATATAACAATAGTTTAGTTATATATTATAGACTTATAGAAAGAGACCTTCTAAAAACGTTAAAATGTATGACTGGCACGCGAAACCTTAAATTAGCGTGAATAAATGAAGACTCGGCACACCACTTCTGAAAGGTTGCCGACCCCTGTTTTAAAATGTTAACTCGACCAAATTATTGCAGGAGCCTCCAAGACTGTGTGCTAGAAGGATACAAATAAGATAGAGATTGCCTTGCCATTATGCCATTAATTTGAAAATTGCCACATTGCTTATACAGAAGAATGTGATCAATATGTAGTTTTCAGCTATGTTTTGTTAGCTCTTATTTCAAATATATGTAATAGCAGAATCAATTTTGCAGAAGTATGAAGATTCAAGACCAACATTTTCAACCAGGGGACATAAACTTAGGTACCTAATTCTAATCATAGTAGAATGATTTTCAGAGGTCCTGAACTTCCACTGGCTTCCAAAAAACAATTGAGGACCAGAGTCTGCCATCAATACTAACGTTTAATGGACTTCAACCTCCAGAATAAGTTATTCGGAGAATCTGGGCATTAATAATTTAGGCCCTGATTCAGGAAAGCACTTAAGCATGTGCTTAAATCCCATTGCTTCAATGGCATTTAAACACAGGCTTACGCCACCTTCCTGAATAAGGGATCTCAATAATTACTGACGTCAATGGGAGCTGAAAATGCTCAAGTTACTCGTATTTAAGTGCCTACACAGGGACTTGAGCACCTAACAGTAGACAGCAAAGTTTAAAAATTAGGGCCTAAATGAGAGCTCACACACACGAACAATACGCTTAATACATCAGTTTGTATAATTGAATGAGTAAATAGGCAATAGCCCCACTAGGCCAATGGCTTGTTACTCTTTATGCTGCCCCTTCTGACAGCAGTACACATTAAAAGTTAAACTTATTTTTAAATGGCTTCAAGTTTCCTTGAGTAAAAAGGCATAAAGGCTGACCTAAGTGCAGACTGAAGCAAGTTTTGGCTAGAGGCAACAAAGCAACTGTAAGCCTTCTAAAACATCTCATAATCTGACATGAGTAAGAAGGGTGTGGATTGTTTCAACATTTAGAACCTGTGCAGCTGAACATTTGGAACGATGGCAGCCTAACCACCACACTTACTCCTCAGCAAACACACAGCTTTACCAGGTTTTGAGATTGTACAAGGCTGCTAGCCCATTTAGTGTTCTACTCAAATTGTTCTCAGGTATCTACATTCAGAAACATTTAAAATAACTTAGTTTTATTCAGAACAACTATCACCATATGCATAACAAATCTCCAGTAATTAAACTGTGAAAAGAAACATACAAAAGACAAAAGCATAATTACTGGAAAAAATTTCAGTGTTAAATAGAAGAACTATTGAATATTCTATTCAGACAAATAATTGGTCTCCAGAGGAGATGCTCATCCAGTTAGTACATAGTTTGTAATTAAACCCTTAATTTTCTTAAGAGCCAGTGTCCATGATTCTATAACAAACTATAGTGAGAAATCTAACAACTATAGTGGGAAATACAGCCTTTACGAAGGTGTATATAAAATTACAGACTATTTATGGCTTTTTTGGAGAGCAGCTAAAGTCCAGTCCAGCAAGGTACAGATAAATCCCAAGGCAGGTTGAAAGCACCGAGAACTTTGCAGGATCAGAAACTAAGGTTTATACGCAGCTGCCTGTTTTTAACAGCAAAGTACACAAGGGTGGAGAAACTGCTAACCAAAAGCCCAGAGGCTTTTCAATGTGCAAACAAAGCTGAACAAGCACTGCTTATAAACATGCATGTAAAAAAGCCTGGAGTTCAGTCAGTTATATGACCAAACCTTTGAAAACACAGCCAAGCCATTGATTTAGACCTGCAAGACTTTAGGTTCCCAACAGAAAAATAAGCAATGTGTTCTCAACGCTGCGTGCAGTGTAATGCTGATCATGATACAGCATAATGTTATAGTTGAAGCTTTCTTTTGCCTTTTTAATTCAAAAGGGTAATTAATAAAAGATATAAAACAAACCTGAGTCCATCTGTCTGGAGTTTCTTCGAATTCCATTAGTTCTTTTCTGCAAAGCAAAAATACAAGTCAAGGACATGTATAAACCGGTTTTAATTTCTAAGTACAGTAGAACCTCAGAGTTAAAAACATCAGAGTTATGAACTGACCAGTCAACCACACACCTCATTTGGAATCAGAAATATACAAACAGGGAGCAGCAGAGACAAAAAAAAAGGGGGGAGGGGGGATTCAGTACAGTGCTGTGTTAAACATAACTACTAAAAAAATTAAGGGAACGCAGCATTTTTCTTCTCCATAGTAAAGTTTCAAAGTTGTATTAAGTAAATGTTCAGTTGTAAACTTTTGAAAGAACTATAACATTTTGTTCAGAGTTACGAACAACTTCCATTCCCAAGGTGTTTGTAACTCTCAACTAAACTAGTGTTTGTAGTCTACTAGGCAAAGCTAATTTTTAAAAAGTTCTCTTCCATCATACAGTGGGGTTAATACAGAAATATCATGCGTTAATATTTATTGTTGGGGTGCAAGTGACACAAAAGGTTCATGTGTTAGCCTGTCACCTCTTGACATCTGGGTTGAAACTCTGCTGAGATCACATGTGAAAATGATTGTAATAACTCAACCTATTTTATAGTGGAAAAATACACCACACAGTTTGGTATTGTCTGCCTCAGGGAAGGTCCAGGACTAGAACAGCAGCAAGAATGCATGTGAATGAAGTTGCAATTCCAATGGGGTGGAAGCCTTACACTGTTCTTGCTTTGTACTTAAGCTCCTTATAGTTAACAATGCCTGTCCCATCTCTCAAATGCGTATTTAATTTTTTAAAAAACATGAAGTAGTAAACTTTTATTCTATTTTTTGAAGTTTAGTTTAGGCAAACTGGAGCTATATGAAATCCCAAGTACACTGTACAAACATGATGGTTTATTATTTGGCAAGTGCTGATTTGTACCAATTGCACAGACCTCTGCGTTTAAATAGGCCCCGAGGAACTTCAGTGCATAATAAGGTATATCTGTAAGTTAGTCATCTCCTCCTGCTACTTGTTTTAATTAGTAGCTTGCATGGGGGCTCATACAAATCACAATGTTTTACTCAAGCGAAGCAGAGCAAAAACAAAGAGTGCAATCAGGTTTTTTTTTAAATTGAGACTGTACTGTTTATTCACACTGACACAGAGAGGAGAGGAGCCATAAGCTTGGGGTGAGGGGAAAGCTGGGAAAGCTGAGGGGAAGTTATTGTGATTGGTTGCAAAATGTTTCCATGGCTTAACTGGAAAAAAAATGTGATAATTTATCAATGTAACAATAAAATTACATACACTAAAGGAAAGAAGAGGGCATAAAAAATATTCAAGGAAGTAAATGTTGGGAGGGTGTGAAAATGTAATGAATGCTTCATCTTATATTATTATCATCAGTAGATCGTCACATTTTCTGTAACATATATCCATCTTTTCTTAAAAACCTGATTTCATTTACACTAAGTCCCCTTTACACCACTCTGGCAACATAAAGGGACCTTAAAGACATATTAAATACATTTAAGGCCCCTTTATACTGCCAGAACCATTTAAAGGGGCCATGGCACAAATGAGAATAAGGCTCTAATTTTATATTCTACATAAAATCAAGGTACAGAAACCTCATCAGGAGAAGGGACTTTTTCTTACAAAAATCTCAAGAATCAAGTTAGAGGAAGAGGCATGCAAAGAGGAGGAATAAAACAGAATTAGGATAAATATTATCTCATCCAGCCACATATGTTCATCATTGGTAGTTTTACTCACTTCTGGCAACCTTGTCCATAACATACCATAAGCAATCTGTTTATAGATTCTTCAATACTGTATGCCATGTGTAATGATCAACAGACTTTTAAGCAAACAAACCATGCTATAGTTTTGGTGTTTAAGATGTTCATGTTTAACAGTTTACAGAGAGATTTAAAATGTAAAACAAACAAACAGCACATGGCAGAAGGTAAGGTAAGCAAGCTGCTGGTGAGGATTCTATTAAAATGAGCACATGCAACAGACATTTTAAAGTGAGCTTATAGCACTGGCAACTGAGGTCTTCTACTTAACCATAAAACATGTATAAACGCATGCCAACCACTCCTCCCTCCTCCCCTCAGAGTTCTGGCAATGTTTTTTATCCTTATAATGTGTGATCCCCTCAAGGAAAACCGAGTAGTTCTATACCCATTAAATCCTGCCCCCTCCCATAAACCTATCAAAATAGGGCAAACTAATGTCAACTATAAGAGTTGTTTTATGATATGGACACCTGCCCACTAGGGGCTGAGCTGAACTGAATTCACCATCTCATTACATATAGGCCACTGAACACTTATCACAAGGTAATAGTTCATGGTCAATAATGACCTGTGCCAGATCTTAACATTTAATGGGGCCACACAGGTGAAAGATTCCATATCTATTTACCAGTCACCTCAACCATCCGGGGCTCCTAACATTACACTTTAATTATCCAAAGCGCTAGGTTTTCTAAGCTATATGTGACAGAAATGTATATCCTCCATGAAATTCTCCACAAGTCAAGGGAGTAAAAAAACCTGTTACCTGCCCAGTATAGAGGGCTTATATTTTCAGTCCTAGATTTCCTTTTACAATTCATTTAGCCACTAGATCATACAACATTAACATTACTAAAGATGACGGACCTGTATATAACACTTCTGTTCAGGTAAGTGGTGTAAAACAAAACCAATTGTCAGTGGAGTTCTATTAATTCCTCTAATAGGTTTTAAGGAAATTTAAACAGGTCTCTTAACATATGAATTTCCAAATAGCAATTCGACAGTGGAAACTTGCTAAAAATGTGCACTATCCTAGGAACAGGCGGAGAATACACAGTCTTAATTATGTAACATTTATTAGCAGTCAGCATTAATCTGCCATTATATTTTTATAACAGTAATAGTTTTCTTTTGATTTGCATTGCCAACCTGAGTCATGGCAGGACAGCATGCAAGTAGAGACAATCACAAAACTGAATAGGTAAAATTATCATCATTATACAAATGTATATGGTGCTCATAACCGTACTGCCAGCTTACAGAATGAATTTACATCCACTGATCTAAAATGGATGCTGGAAACGCAATGTAGTGTCCTGGGTTTAAAACATAGTCTGTATTTTGTCAAAGTTAGTGGGAAGTAGGACTTTTACTTCTTTCTGTACCATAATGGAAAGACATCAGCAATATGCAGCGAGATACTTCACTGTGACTTGCAATATTCTTAGAGCTTTGTCATGACATATTATGCATACTGACTAACTTCTCTGGACATTAGTAGTTCATTTTACTGTCCTGTCAGGATCAAGCAAATTCCATGGTTGCTGAGTGACACTAAGAAAGAATACGGTTATGTAAAAAGTCAGTATTCCACTGCAAATTTTGCAGCTTACTGTAGGCTGAAGAATTGCAGATTTATTAGTCCATAGTAGTATATTATTATTGCAGAATTTGCTGAAATTTACCTAAGGATAGTTTTATCTCTGTTGCCAAATTTGGCCTAGAAGCGCTAGAGAACTGTGATCACTGATATTCTGAGTTAAATTAACAACATTGTTTTACTTTCCCCCTATAATTTAAGGAAACCTACATTCTTCCCGTATCCTAAACACTGAAAAATCTCAATGAAAATTAGGTTAATCCCCTGCAATTTAATACAGATATATCTAATTGCTAGTGCATATACATGGAGTCACTTCTACTGCTAGAGTTTGCATAACGCTAAATAAATGTAAGTTAGCTGCAGAAAAAATACATTATTTATTGCACTGGCACAGCCATATGCAGTAAATGAACAATTTGTAAGCCATCAACAAAATAAATATAGCATAAAAATTGAAAATGAATCCTTACCTCATGTTTCAGGGTTCCGTGTTCTGAAACAAAAGTAAAAATGGGCATTATCAGTGCCTGTCAATTTGTTCTTCTATATAGTAATCTCTGTCTGTGCTGCGCTGCATGAGAACACACTACTGCTTTGTTTTGCTAACTGATACCTGTAATATGGTCCGACAGCCCTGGAGCTGAGATAGTTATTGTTTTGCAAACTGTGTTCTTAGAGCTGATTGGCTCTTGTCAGGTAACACTGAACTAACGCTATAAATGGCCTGTTTCTGAGTTATGCTGAACTTTCCAACAGTTGTATGCCAAACAATCAAATCATTTAAATCTTTAGAAATGGTTCTACTGAGTTTCAAAAACACTATGTAACCGCATACACCTTTTGGGGAATTCTATAGTTAAGATTTCTATTGCAACTGTAATTTAAACTTCCTCTAATCCCTTTGCACCTAATAATATTCTATATTGCTGTATAATCAGTTCAATGTTTTGCCTACTGGTTGTGGTAGGAACCTTAGCTTTGAAGTTTCCTGAGATTCATGTACTTAAATTCTCAAGTAGCACTGCACTAACATACTGTAGGAGGGGTTTTTTTGCAATGAGTTTTCTTGTTTTCTTTTAGTGAAAAAAAAAAGCAGCATGAGAAAAGGATAAAGAAAGGTACTCTTGTGGGTTATCAGAATGGCTGCATCAGTGTGTTAAAGCTGTGTGCCTACAGAGCACCACACATATCTATGAACCCAGCAAGGGTTTGGGAAATGGGGGAGGAGATTATGGAGTGTGTGATCTGATCAGCATACTTTCTAATAAACACATCACTGCACCCTAGATTTTATTTTACTGCCTTATCACACAGCTGTGTTTATTTCTATGTGGCATTCTCCAGGCCCACTCCTGATGTCTGGTAAGGAAAATTATGCATTGCACATGTCCAGTGTTTAGTTTACAACCACAGACAATTTCCAAACTTTTTCAAACATTGGTGTGACAATCAGGGTCCAGATACCTCAGGGGGTCTGATCCCCAAAGAATAAGCAATTGAATCAACTGCCTGGATACAATATTATTGTACTATAAAACTGTACTGAGTAAGATGTCATAAAAACTGGTGATAAATTGGTCATGGATATTACTGCATGATCTATGTATGGGTTGTGTATAAAGAATTGTGTATGTGTCCTGGCAATATGTTCTTAAAATGTATTTTAGAAACAGTGCATAAATCAAACCTGCCCTAGACAAACAAATGTGGATTTATCTGTCTGACTGGCTTGATTACAGGCAGAGGATTATGAAAGTATATTTACATATAGGGTAAACAAAGCAATCAAGAAAAAAGAACAAGAGTACTTGTGGCACCTTAGAGACTAACAAATTTATTTGAGCATAAGCTTTCGTGGGCTACAGCCCACTTCTTCAGATGCATAGAATGGAACATATAGTAAGGAGATATATATACATACAGAACATGAAAAGGTGGAAATAACCATATCAACTCTAAGAGGCTAATTAATTAAGATGAGCTATAATCAAGCAATCAAGCTAACTAGCAATAGAGGGGGAACAGAGTCAATACCCCCATGAAGTCTTCTGGCTTTTGAGGCAAAGACACTGGACTTTGCAAAACAGAAGGGGAGCAAAAAGACATTCTAGTTGTCCCTCACTTAGGGAACACAGTGGTTTATGGTTCTGAGTGTCCTCAGGAGAGCATCCCAGTGGCAAAACACGCATTTCTTACCAAGGACCATATACTGAATGAGCCAAATATGAAGCTCTAAATCTAAACATTTTGATTTGCTAAAGCTAAAAAATGCATCCAAAATGGTTCTTATTATACAAAACAAACCTCTTGGTTACTAACATTTTATTTAAAGATAAACACACTTGTTGACAATAAGAATATGAACCAAGAAATCTCAGCAGGAGACTGGAAGGACAGAATGCTACCAAGTAGGAGCAGTATAATTTTCCCCTCATGGATGGAATGCCAGGGGAAAATCATTTTGTCACACTAAAGGTATTTTTTTAAAAAAAGGTTGTAAAGATTTTTTTTCAGCCTTCCCAAAAATATTCATTCATCTTTGTGTTGTAAAAGAGCAGGGAGAGAGGGGGAAGCAAAGGAATAGTTTTGAGGAGATTATTAAGGCTTAGATTTTCAAAGGAGCCCAAGGGAGTTAAGTATTCAAATCCCACTGAAATTCAATAGGATTTAGGCACTTAACTCTCTTGGACTCCTTTGAAAATGCCAACCTATGGTATGGGCACGAGGGTAAGAATGAAATTACCTTTTTGGCCTTTACTCCTGTATAGTATCACTACCATGGTGTTATAAATGACTTCAAAACTGAACTAAGTACCATGTGAGTACCATGAAAATGGAATCTTTATAAAAGTTCATTCCCAATCATCAGTTCTGTTAGTGTTTTATCTTCAGTCCCCATATGTCTTAAATATTAGAGTGCACTGGGTGCCTTTCTGTCCTGGTGTGGGAGAGTTTATAGGAGGAGACTTGGGCTTTATGGATGACACATGAAAGTCCTGTGAACTGTTTTGCTTTTGAGTGAAGAAAGCACCTTGTCTTAATAGCTGCTGTGGCTTATTGCTGCTTTTTTATGAATATCATAAACACTAATCTTAGAGTGAGTTTCAAAGTTCACTAGGATAAAGTGAGTTCAGTATCCCAATGTTGTGATTTGATATAGAAAGAGAAGCTGAATGATTAACTTCTAATATTTGGTATTCAGAGAGATGCAAAAAACCAGTAACATAGAAAGGCTATAAATATCCCTGATAGCTACCTATGAGTTTTACTGAGAGAAGTATTTATGGTAATAGGTCACATTAGTGATATTTAGCGTTCAAAGTAAATACTATACTACTCCATTACCTCAAGCCAGCAGAGATTTTGTTGTTAAAGACTGAGGGCCAAATTCAAACTCAGCATAAGCAAATGCAACTCCACTGAAGTTGACAGTATTTCATCTATTTACTCCATGTCTGAATTAGACCTTAAAACTTTGCCAACCTTGACATACATTGAACTGTTATATGTGACATTTAACTCAGGAAGCCCCTTCAACATGTCTATAGACCACAGTGAAACTAACCACCTGATATCAATATTGCCAGAAAAGCCTTGTTTATCTGCAGCACATATACACAAATCTCATTCATTATGGTGAGACGAAAACTGCTAAAGCAAAATCTATAGTCTCCAACAAAGTGAAATCATTACTACTTCAAGGTAGGAAAAACCTTACCTCTATTCAATTTCACTCTCCGTATATCCAGGACACTTTGCATCAGATCCTTATGTGAATCAATTCCCCATGGGTTTCTGATTAGGAGTTCAAGAGCAGATTCCTTGCTTCATCTGCACAGAATTATTCATACTCATGTCCTACAATGCCATACCTATTAGGCAGAAGTTCTCTTTTTTCTGCCTCTAACATTTTCATCTCCATTCTTAGCATTTCCATAGTTTATCATCTTAGACTCATAGTTGTCTTTCAGCTTTATCTTGGAAGTTCACAGTAATCAGACTATGAACCCATATTACAATTTCAGGGAAAATGTCCAGGCTATCACCTTGCATGGTGACAAGTTTCAGAGTGGTAGCCTCCAGCTTTCATCCAGACAACACCACACAATCCATTGTCTACAGCCAAGCTCTAAGATACAACCGCATTTGCTCGAACCCCTCAGACAGAGACAAACACCTACAAGATCTCTATCAAGCATTCTTACAACCACAATACCCACCTGCTGAAGTGAAGAAACAGATTGACAGAGCCAGAAGAGTACCCAGAAGTCACCTACTACAGGACAGGCCCAACAAAGAAAGTAACAGAATGCCACTAGCTGTCACCTTCAGTCCCCAACTAAAATCTCTCCAGCGCATCATCAAGGATCTACAACCTATCCTGAAGGACGATCCCTCACTCTCACAGATTTTGGGAGACAGGCCAATCCTTGCTTACAGACAGCCCCCAACCTGAAGCAAATACTGACCAGCAACCACACACCACACAACAAAAACACTAACCCAGGAACCTATCCTTGCAACAAAGCCCATTGACAACTCTGTCCACATATTTATTCAGGGGATACCATCATAGGACCTAATCACATCAGCCACACTATCAGAGGCTCGTTCACCTGCACATCTACCAATGTGATATATGCTATCATGTGCCAGCAATGCCCCCTCTGCCATGTACATTGGCCAAACCGGACAGTCTCTATGCAAAAGAATAAATGGACACAAATCAGACGTCGAGAATTAAAACATTCAAAAACCAGTCGGAGAACACTTCAACCTCTCTGGTCACTTGATTACAGACCTCAAAGTCGCAATATTCCAACAAAAAAACTTCAAAAACAGACTCCAATGAGAAACTGCAGAATTGGAATTAATTTGCAAACTTGATACCATTAAATTAGGCTTGAATAAAGACTGGGAGTGGATGGGTCATTACACAAAGTAAAACCTATTTCCCCATGCTAATTTTTCCCCTACTGTTACTCACACCTTCTTGTCAACTGTTTGAAATGGGCCATCCTGATGATCACTACAAAGGTTTTTTTTCTCCTGCTGATAATAACCCACCTTAACTGATTACCCTCGTTATAGTTAGTACGTCAACACCCATTTTTTCATGTCCTCTGTGTATATATATCTTCCTACTGTATTTTCCACTGCATGCATCTGATTAAGTGGGTTTTAGCCCACAAAAGCTTATGCTCAAATAAATTTGTTAGTCTCTATGGTGCCACAAGTACTCCTCGTTCTTCAGGGTATCACCAATATCTTTTGACCAAGATCTTGACACGCTTCCACATTCTTTTTATCACATTTCTCCTGGATAATTGCAGTTAATAATTTGTGGATCTTCCTCTACTTCCCTTAAGTACTCACCGTTTGCACAGAATTGTGCCTCTAGACTCTTCAAAGGAACAATGATCTGTAGACGTTCTAGTCTAACGCTGAGAAAACTTCACCTGCCTTCAGTGAGGCAGCATGCTAACTTTAAAA